TAAGCGCGCTGTGGATTAGCGCAGGCTGAATGAAGGTGTTTACGGTAAAGATATGAATATGATGAATCAATTATTGTGAACGTTTAAAGGAATCATTCACCCACAAATGATCATTCTGTCATCGTTTACTCGTATCGTTAATAAACACAAAGGAAGATATTCTGAGGGATATCAGTGAAAGTCAGTGTTGTTTGGTTCCCGCTGTTCTTCGAAATAAAGTTCTTCTTATTTGTGTTCAGTGGAAGAAATAAAGAGATCAGGTTTGAACAACATTATGGGGAGTAAACGATGAAAGGAATCCAGTTCAGCTTACTGACGTCATCAGAGCTGTTTTAATAAACCGGTCATGTCTTTGATTGGTTATAATTAGTCACCAGCTCGTTTCTGGTACGTTTTCTTTGTGGTTTCCGTTCCGAGACGAGAAAAGCAGAAAACTGCCTGAACAATATCAACGTTCACATCAACCACACAGACACATGCATTCATACACACGCAAACCAAGACAACACAAGTATATTCCAACTATGTTTTTCTAAATTTACCCATTAAGTTATAAAACGTTATTTCTGAATGTTCTATGAACATTTTCTCTGAACGTTCTGAAACGAGTAGCAACATTTAAAAAACGTTGAAATGAAACATTTCAGAGAAAAACCCTCCATAAGCGATGTATAAATCATTTTTTTTGTGGTAATGTTTTGGGAACATTATTAAAGGCCAGATAACTCTAAACAAACATTCTATTAACGTTACAGGAAGAACGTTTGTACGTATCTTTAAGAGAACCTTGCCAGAACGTTAGCCAAAGCCTGAGAACCTTCCCCGTTAGCTGGGTTTATACACTCATGCACGTCCTGTTTCTATACTGCAGACCACCATATGTGGAAGCATTACAGTCTTCTACAATCGCATCGACACATTTCACAATACTTTTTCAAAACTCTTTTTCAAAGCTTATCACAGCGGCTAAATGCTTCAGTGACTGTACGGAACTAGTCGAAGTCAGAAGAGCAAGTCAACACCAAAGGGCACATCCTATGTGACTTGTTCAAGAGATGCACAGTGGCTCAGCTCCCCAAGCCAATATCCACAGGTGTTTAGGGAATAACCCCTCAAACTTCTGGCTTCACAAGGTTTAAACAGCCCCATCCTGGCACCAGACAGGTCTTCACCTGAAAACCCAGAAGCAAGGCAATAAGGACTCAGCTATTGCTATGCTAATATAGCACATATCCCGACCACAAACAAACCCACAGAGATTCTTGTGAACCAGACTCTATACTCCAAGGGAATCGCACGGAAGCTTAAGCCCTACTTAGGAACCCCAACAAACTTACACAATTGGGTAGAGTTGCAAATAAGAGAATTATTCTCTTATTCTATTCCCAAGCTCATACCCTGACCAAGGTAAAGGGCACTCTCTGTATAGGGATCTACGGCGCTATGCCAAGAAATAAAAAGGAGGTAATTACCTCTACTTTACAGGGCTCTAGCTAAGAAGCCCACAAAAGCACCCACCCAAAGGGGGGTGTACAGTATGGCCCTACTTCAAACCCAACACTAGTTGGGGAGGGAGGTAAATAGGATAACACTGCCCATAATCACTCCCTCTCCCTGTATCGACCCTAAGGAGATACTTGTCTAAAAGGGAAGCTTTTATCCCAACTTAAATTCCAAATAATAGGGCAGGGCAGAAAAGAGTAACATGGGATGCATAGTGTTTCAATTACTGTGACACACTTCTAAGGAACCCATCCAAAAGGGGAGCGTACATCCCTGCTTGAAGCCCGGCTATAGTTGAGGAGGGAGATGAAAGGAATGGAGGGATGCTATGTGGATCTTATTAAAAAATAAACTGAATATAAATACGTATGATGTTAAAATATGTTCTCAGAACTGTCCACGGATTGTTTATGGACAGGTTATAGAGTCACAGCATATTCCGGCACGAGATCCAGTGCGTTACATTGGAAACGGCACAACAGAGACTGGGCCATTACACTCGAATTACTTCTAAATGTTTACTTCTAATATGTGTTAAACTAGCTTAAATGTTGGCAATATGTATTTAAAATTATAAAAAATATACTATACTGTAAAATATGACTGAAAATAAAGCAATTATCATGCAAGCCAGTGGTTGTATCGAGTATTTTTTACATTTTAATTAAATTTTTTATCATGCTGGGTTAAATAAACAAGCCAATTTGTTGTGTAAAATTAACCCAACATGTGTTCTGTCTTATATTTACCCAGCCCTTGGGTTGAAAGCAACCCCATGTTTAGAGTGTGTAAACCCCAACACTGGTTTGGGGAGGATGGTAAATGCAGGCTGCCCAACACAAGTCCATTCACATCAACCCTAATGTGTCTTTCTCTAGTCCTGCTGAAACTCTGATAACCCATTGGAGAGGGCGCTAAAGAGGAGCGTGGGACGCATGCCGCTTTTCCAAATCCAACTGCTTTTAGAAGGGTTAGGTGTCTCTCCATAACCAGCATCGCCACCATTGGACGACCCATGTGGTCTGGCAACTGGAGCATTTAGTGAGGCTCACACTTTCTTCTTCACATTCCCGTGCTCACACAAACCCTTTACATTCAGATAATTCAAATACTTGAAGGGAGTATGCGGCTGAGTATGAGTTCTTCCATGAGATTTGCTTCTACATCCAGCAGATCCCTGGATCTGGCTTGAGGAGAGCTGGAAATGGACTCGCCGCTCCCGAACTCTCGCAGATCCCTGGATCTGGCTTGAGGAGAGCTGGGAATGGACTCGCCTCTCCCGAGCTCTTGCAGATCCCTGGATCTGGCTTGAGGAGAGCTGGGAATGGACTCGCCGCTCCCGAACTCTCGCAGATCCCTGGATCTGGCTTGAGGAGAGCTGGGAATGGACTCGCCTCTCCCGAACTCTCGCAGATCCCTGGATCTGGCTTGAGGAGAGCTGGGAATGGACTCGCCGCTCCCGAACTCTCGCAGATCCCTGGATCTGGCTTGAGGAGAGCTGGGAATGGACTCGCCTCTCCCGAACTCTTGCAGATCCCTGGATCTGGCTTGAGGAGAGCTGGGAATGGACTCGCCTCTCCCGAGCTCTTGCAGATCCCTGGATCTGGCTTGAGGAGAGCTGAGAATGGACTCGCCGCTCCCGAACTCTCGCAGATCCCTGGATCTGGCTTGAGGAGAGCTGGGAATGGACTCGCCTCTCCCGAGCTCTTGCAGATCCCTGGATCTGGCTTGAGGAGAGCTGAGAATGGACTCGCCGCTCCCGAACTCTCGCAGATCCCTGGATCTGGCTTGAGGAGAGCTGGGAATGGACTCGCCTCTCCCGAACTCTCGCAGATCCCTGGATCTGGCTTGAGGAGAGCTGGGAATGGACTCGCCTCTCCCGAACTCTTGCAGATCCCTGGATCTGGCTTGAGGAGAGCTGGGAATGGACTCGCCTCTCCCAAGCTCTTGCAGATCCCTGGATCTGGCTTGAGGAGAGCTGAGAATGGACTCGCCGCTCCCGAACTCTCGCAGATCCCTGGATCTGGCTTGAGGAGAGCTGGGAATGGACTCGCCTCTCCCGAACTCTTGCAGATCCCTGGATCTGGCTTGAGGAGAGCTGGGAATGGACTCGCCTCTCCCGAGCTCTCGCAGATCCCTGGATCTGGCTTGAGGAGAGCTGGGAATGGACTCGCCGCTCCCGAACTCTTGCAGATCCCTGGATCTGGCTTGAGGAGAGCTGGGAATGGACTCGCCGCTCCCGAACTCTCGCAGATCCCTGGATCTGGCTTGAGGAGAGCTGGGAATGGACTCGCCTCTCCCGAACTCTTGCAGATCCCTGGATCTGGCTTGAGGAGAGCTGGGAATGGACTCGCCTCTCCCGAGCTCTTGCAGATCCCTGGATCTGGCTTGAGGAGAGCTGGGAATGGACTCGCCGCTCCCGAACTCTTGCAGATCCCTGGATCTGGCTTGAGGAGAGCTGGGAATGGACTCGCCGCTCCCGAACTCTTGCAGATTCTTGGATCTGCCTTGAGGAGAGCTGGGAATGGACTCGCCGCTCCCGAACTCTTGCAGATCCCTGGATCTGGCTTGAGGAGAGCTGGGAATGGACTCGCCGCTCCCGAACTCTTGCAGATTCCTGGATCTGGCTTGAGGAGAGCTGGGAATGGACTCGCCGCTCCCGAACTCTTGCAGATTCCTGGATCTGGCTTGAGGAGAGCTGGTAATGGACTCACCTCTCCCGAACTCTTGCAGATTCCTGGATCTGCCTTGAGGAGAGCTGGGAATGGACTCGCCGCTCCCGAACTCTTGCAGATTCCTGGATCTGGCTTGAGGAGAGCTGGGAATGGACTCGCCGCTCCCGAACTCTTGCAGATTCCTGGATCTGCCTTGAGGAGAGCTGGGAATGGACTCGCCGCTCCCGAACTCTTGCAGATTCCTGGATCTGGCTTGAGGAGAGCTGGGAATGGACTCGCCGCTCCCGAATTCTTGCAGATCCCTGGATCTGGCTTGAGGAGAGCTGGGAATGGACTCGCCGCTTCCAAGCTCTTGCAGATCCCTCAACAGCACATAAATCACGATCTGAAGAAATACTAACAAAAAGCAGCATTGAGCAATTTCTTTGGTAACATTTCAAGTTTCCCCTTTTGTGTAGATGATAATGAAATTGAAAGATAGTATTTCATTGATAGTATTTCATTCAGATTTTATATTACTGTATGAATGTAGCAGTTTGCGGTCTTATTCAGTTTTGTATTATGCTTTGAACTTAAGTTGAGCAGTTTTGAAAGCAGCATGCACATGTGGTGCAGTAGATACTTGAGGTGCAGAGAGTGTTCAGGGGGGTTGTGTGAGAAAAGAATTGATGTAATTTGAAAGATGTGGTCATTTAATGCATTCTGTGCCAAAGCAAATCCTCAGTTTAGTTCACCCAGACTGATGTTGAACACTGTGTGAAGAGTTTTGAAAAGAGGCCAACGTAAGTATAAACTATTTAAAGCAGAAAGCACTCAACACAGTTACACAAAATCAACTTTATTTTTCACTTTTATTTTTTCCAGTACACCAGTTGCATCATTCAACCCTCGGCTTAGTTCAGTTTAGATGTTGATTTAAATAATTTTGCATAAGATAAAAATCTAGAATGAATCGTTGCACTTGCAGATCAAAACAACATATAAACGTCTGTGAAGATTACAAACACAAGACAAGACACACTCTTCAAAACAGCGAGCTCCAAAGACAGACGGGTTTAGTTACAGTATTTCACATGCTGATGTTTCCATCACGAGTTTCCGATGTTTAATGAGCAGAAGTTTCCACAAACACACACTCACGAACATCATGAAACCCTGATCAGCGAGTCACAGTCTGACTCTGACATATCAATAATCAATAACACACACTGTGGAACAACTGGGACTGTGTAAGACACACTATGATTCATCAGGGTTTTACAGTAAATGTCTTCTACACACACCGAAGCGTCTATTTCAGGCCGGCGTACAAACTACTGCTGACCGTGTGCTGATTCAGCCGCTGAAAACACACAAACATCACAATTACAGCCACACATTTACAGTTATTTTACATAACATTTACATTTTATGACAGGAACTCAAATGTCTTGTTGCGTAAATAACACAAATAATCATGTTGCTGAAAAGTGATCCGGCTGACAAGGAAATTTGATTCAAAATTCTATCAAAGTAATAAACAAACATTCTTCCAGTAACGTTAATAAAACGTTCATTCAAAGTTATCTGGTCTTTAATCTCAAAACTTATCACAAAACATAATTTATTCATGGAACTTTTTATCCTGAAACGTTTTAGTTGGACGTTCGTCTAGCGTTTTATAAATGTTACTCCTGGTTTCAGAACGTTCCCATAATGTTTGCATAACGATGAAATGCAATATTATGCAAACATTCGCACAACCAAATTTTTAAAAAAACTTTAAAGACATTTTAAAAACTCAGAAATAACCTTTTCATAACTCAATTGGAAAGTTTGTTAAATGTTCTTGGAACGTGTTTTTGTTAGCGGGAACAGCTGTTACTATGGCAACACTGGATTATTGACCAATCACAACACACTTTAACATTTTCTCATTCTGCGGTGATGAAAGACTCATTAATAACTACATGCAATGCCTTATTAAATTAATCTGTGATATTATTTCACATGATTTGCACACGTACCTCATAGTCTGGGTTTGGAACGGGAGGAGCGCTTGTTGTTCGAGGTTTGGATCCTGTAAATGTAAAACAAATTAAACAATGAAAATGTTGAATTGTTTTGAGTTAAAGGGATTGTTCACCCCTAAAATGTAAATCCTGTCATCATTTACTCTCCCTAATGTTGTCCCAAACCTGTGTGAGTTTCTGTCTTCAGTTAAACACACAAGAAGAGATTCTGAAGGATTCCGGTAACCAGACAGTTGATTTTGGACCCAATTGACTTCCATTGTGTTCTTTCCCCAAACGGGGCTCATCAACATTCTTCAAAATCTCTTCTTGTGTGTTTAACTGAAGACAGAAACTCACACAGGTTTGAAACAACATGAGGGAGAGTAAATGATGACAGGATTTTTATTTTTGGGTGAACTATCAGTTTAAACACGTAAAAACAGATCAATGTGAGTAGTTCTATGTGTGTGTGTGTGTGTGTGTGTGTGTGTGTGTGTGTGTGTGTGTGTGTGTGTGTGTGTGAGTGTGAGTGTGTGTGTGTGTGTGTGTGTGTGTGTGAGTGAGTGAGTGAGTGTGAGTGTGTGTCTGTGTGTGTGTGTGTGTGTGTGTGTGTGAGTGAGTGAGTGTGTGTGTGTGTCTGTGTGTGTGTGTGTGTCTGTGTTTGAGTGTGTGTGTGTGTGTCTGTGTTTGAGTGTGTGTGTGTGTGTGTGTGTGTGTGTGTGTGTGTGTGTGTGTGTGTGAGTGTGAGTGTGTGTGTGTGTGTGTGTGTGTGTGTGTGTGTGTGTGTGTGTGAGTGAGTGAGTGAGTGTGAGTGTGTGTCTGTGTGTGTGTGTGTGTGTGTGTGTGAGTGAGTGAGTGAGTGAGTGTGTGTGTGTGTCTGTGTGTGTGTGTGTGTGTGTGTGTGTGTGTGAGTGTGAGTGTGTGTGTGTGTGTGTGTGTGTGTGTGTGTGTGTGTGTGTGAGTGAGTGAGTGAGTGTGAGTGTGTGTCTGTGTGTGTGTGTGTGTGTGTGTGTGAGTGAGTGAGTGAGTGAGTGTGTGTGTGTGTCTGTGTGTGTGTGTGTGTGTGTGTGTCTGTGTTTGAGTGTGTGTGTGTGTGTTTGTGTTTGAGTGTGTGTGTGTGTTGTACCTTTCTGCTGAGTGCTGCCAGTGTTTTTCGGCACACACATATAGACGATGAGAATAACGGCTCCTGTAAGCAGTAAATCACCCATTATGACGCCCGACGCCATCAACCCGCTCAGCTCGTAGCAGTTCTCACACACTGGCGGAGAGAAGAGTGTGACGTGAGCGTGTGTGTGAGGAAAGACATCGCATAATGATCAACATGAAGTTTCCTCACCCTTTACTTTGAGATAGAACAAGTGTGTGACTGTCACTGAGTCGTGTGTATATTCACAGCTGAACTCTCCCTCCACCGTCCCCTGATCCGCCTGCACTCTCGTCTCCTTCTGGGTCTCCGTCTTCAACACGTCTGTTCCCTTCTTCCACGACCACGTCCCTATAAACTCCTCGTCTCCTCCTGTGCAGGTCAGAACCACTCCGCTGCTTGTGATGTGTATGTCTTCGACAAAAACAAAACCATGGAAGCCCAAATGAAACGAGCAACATGTAATAATAGTGGATGTTCATATCAAACAGGCCCTGAATGATGAGCTCAGATTATTGGTGTTAGTGATCGTTACCTTGACTGTCGGCCGCTGCCGCGAGCATCAGGAACACGAGGCCCGTGAGGATCATCTCTGCTGAGGAAGATGAAGATGAAGAAGATGAAGATGATGATGATGATGGTTTCTGTCCTGAAGTCGAGCTGTTCTGATCTCTCAGTGTCTCTGTGTTTTGCTACAGGAAAAGGAAACCTCAAACGCCCTCGTTCTCTCTCTCTCTCTCTCTCTTCTGCTCTCTTTATCAGCTCAGCTGTGCTTTCTCTCACACACTCCTCGAGAACACACACATCTCACACTACATTACTCACTGCATCAACTAACAATGACTTCTTAATCTTACTTAATAAAAATACAGTTGGTAATGTTAGTTCATGTTCAGGTCTGTTAAATAATAATAACAGACACAAAGTTTGATTTTAAGGTTACTCTTTATTTGGTTGCACTTTATTTTAAGGTGTCTTTGTGCACTGTTATTATATATTTAAGTACTGACTACATGTACTTACTATAGGGTTAGGATGAGGGTTTGCTTTAGAGTTAATTGCATGCAATTATGCATAATTTAATTTATAGTTAAAACTACATTACATGTAACGTGTAACAACGACACTAAAATAAAGTGTTACCCTTTATTTTAAGATGTCAGTATTACAGTGTAATTATATATTTAAGTACTGGGTAATAATAATTAACTACATGTACTTACTATAGGATTAGGGTTTGGTTTAGAGTTTATGCATGTAATTATGCATCATTTATAGTTATTACTACAGTAAATACAGGTAACGTGTAACAACGACACTAGGATAAAGTGTTACCGGGCGATTTTAATCATAAATTAGTAAATGCTGTAGAAGTATTGTTTGTTGTTAGATCATGTTAAGTAATGAAAACTTCTTGAAAAGTTAAATATTATTTCTCCAGTGTTTAAGTATTAAAGTATGCTTTTATTCCTTAGACAGATTTAAGAAACGAAGCGATGTTAATGTATGATCAAGATTATATTAGTATTCATGCGATGAGAGAGTAGAGCTCAGTGCTTTAACACATGGTAATGAGGCTGATAATGAATGAGAGTCTGCAGCGCCACCATGTGCTGAAGCTTCAGAACACACTCGTCTACAAACTCCACATGCAAAAGAAGTCTTCACACTGTAAAAAAAATATTGCTGCCTTAAAGTACAAACAACTTAGAAGTTTAAGTCATTTTAATTTACTGTAAATGAATTAAACTGAATTAAAAAAAGAGTTGAATCTTGTATAACTTAGAAAAAAAGTTGCCTAACTTATTTTGATGAGTTAAAGCGATGTAAAAACATATTTTGTCATAACTTATTGATCATATATTGTTTTACAGTGCAGCAAACATAAACATTACATTAACATTATTTTACGGTTGCAGTTTGGTTATTTTTGGGAAATAATTTGTAATGTTTTAGGATTGCTTTCTTTGTAAAAAATAACTATACATAGCAAAAAATATGCTCTACGTTCTAACGTTCTAAGTTAGTTATAAAAACTTTATTTCTGAATGTTCCATTTTTTTAAGTGTTTTTGAGTGTTCTCTGAATGTTACTTTAGAATGTTCTCTGAACGTTACTTTTGAATGTTCTCTGAATGTTACTTTTGAATGTTCTCTGAATGTTACTTTAGAATGTTCTCTGAATGTTACTTTTGAATGTTCTCTGAACGTTACTTTTGAATGTTCTCTGAATGTTACTTTAGAATGTTCTCTGAATGTTACTTTTGAATGTTCTCTGAATGTTACTTTTGAATGTTCTCTGAATGTTACTTTAGAATGTTCTCTGAATGTTACTTTTGAATGTTCTCTGAATGTTACTTTTGAATGTTCTCTGAATGTTACTTTAGAATGTTCTCTGAATGTTACTTTTGAATGTTCTCTGAACGTTACTTTTGAATGTTCTCTGAATGTTACTTTAGAATGTTCTCTGAACGTTACTTTAGAATGTTCTCTGAACGTTACTTTAGAATGTTCTCTGAATGTTACTTTAGAATGTTCTCTGAATGTTACTTTTGAATGTTCTCTGAATGTTACTTTAGAATGTTCTCTGAATGTTACTTTTGAATGTTCTCTGAATGTTACTTTTGAATGTTCTCTGAATGTTACTTTAGAATGTTCTCTGAATGTTACTTTTGAATGTTCTCTGAACGTTACTTTTGAATGTTCTCTGAATGTTACTTTTGAATGTTCTCTGAATGTTACTTTTGAATGTTCTCTGAATGTTACTTTAGAATGTTCTCTGAATGTTACTTTTGAATGTTCTCTGAATGTTACTTTTGAATGTTCTCTGAATGTTACTTTTGAATGTTCTCTGAATGTTACTTTTGAATGTTCTCTGAATGTTACTTTAGAATGTTCTCTGAACGTTACTTTAGAATGTTCTCTGAATGTTACTTTAGAATGTTCTCTGAATGTTACTTTTGAATGTTCTCTGAATGTTACTTTAGAATGTTCTCTGAATGTTACTTTTGAATGTTCTCTGAATGTTACTTTTGAATGTTCTCTGAATGTTACTTTAGAATGTTCTCTGAATGTTACTTTTGAATGTTCTCTGAACGTTACTTTTGAATGTTCTCTGAATGTTACTTTTGAATGTTCTCTGAATGTTACTTTTGAATGTTCTCTGAATGTTACTTTAGAATGTTCTCTGAATGTTACTTTTGAATGTTCTCTGAATGTTACTTTTGAATGTTCTCTGAATGTTACTTTTGAATGTTCTCTGAATGTTACTTTTGAATGTTCTCTGAATGTTACTTTAGAATGTTCTCTGAACGTTACTTTTGAATGTTCTCTGAATGTTACTTTTGAATGTTCTCTGAACGTTACTTTTGAATGTTCTCTGAACGTTACTTTAGAATGTTCTCTGAACGTTACTTTTGAATGTTCTCTGAATGTTACTTTTGAATGTTCTCTGAACGTTACTTTTGAATGTTCTCTGAACGTTACTTTTGAATGTTCTCTGAACGTTACTTTTGAATGTTCTCTGAACGTTACTTTAGAATGTTCTCTGAACGTTACTTTTGAGTGTTCTCTGAACGTTACTTTAGAATGTTCTCTGAATGTTACTTTAGAATGTTCTCTGAACGTTACTTTTGAATGTTCTCTGAATGTTACTTTTGAATGTTCTCTGAAAGTTACTTTAGAATGTTCTCTGAACGTTACTTTAGAATGTTCTCTGAACGTTACTTTTGAATGTTCTCTGAATGTTACTTTTGAATGTTCTCTGAACGTTACTTTTGAATGTTCTCTGAACGTTACTTTTGAATGTTCTCTGAACGTTACTTTTGAATGTTCTCTGAACGTTACTTTAGAATGTTCTCTGAACGTTACTTTTGAGTGTTCTCTGAATGTTACTTTAGAATGTTCTCTGAACGTTACTTTAGAATGTTCTCTGAACGTTACTTTAGAATGTTCTCTGAACGTTACTTTTGAATGTTCTCTGAACGTTACTTTAGAATGTTCTCTGAACGTTACTTTTGAATGTTCTCTGAACGTTACTGTAGAATGTTCTCTGAACGTTACTTTAGAATGTTCTCTGAACGTTACTTTAGAATGTTCTCTGAATGTTACTTTTGAATGTTCTCTGAACGTTACTTTAGAATGTTCTCTGAACGTTACTTTAGAATGTTCTCTGAACGTTACTTTAGAATGTTCTCTGAACGTTACTGTAGAATGTTCTCTGAACGTTACTGTAGAATGTTCTCTGAACGTTACTTTAGAATGTTCTCTGAACGTTACTTTAGAATGTTCTCTGAACGTTACTTTTGAATGTTCTCTGAACGTTACTTTAGAATGTTCTCTGAACGTTACTTTAGAATGTTCTCTGAACGTTACTTTAGAATGTTCTCTGAACGTTACTTTTGAATGTTCTCTGAACGTTACTGTAGAATGTTCTCTGAACGTTACTTTAGAATGTTTTCTGAACGTTACTTTAGAATGTTCTCTGAACGTTACTTTTGAATGTTTTCTGAATGTTACTTTAGAATGTTCTCTGAATGTTACTTTTGAATGTTTTCTGAATGTTACTTTAGAATGTTCTCTGAATGTTACTTTAGAATGTTCTCTGAACGTTACTTTTGAATGTTCTCTGAATGTTACTTTAGAATGTTCTCTGAATGTTACTTTTGAATGTTTTCTGAATGTTACTTTTGAATGTTCTCTGAATGTTACTTTAGAATGTTCTCTGAATGTTACTTTTGAATGTTTTCTGAATGTTACTTTAGAATGTTCTCTGAACGTTACTTTAGAATGTTCTCTGAACGTTACTTTAGAATGTTCTCTGAACGTTACTTTTGAATGTTCTCTGAACGTTACTTTAGAATGTTCTCTGAACGTTACTTTAGAATGTTCTCTGAACGTTACTTTTGAATGTTCTCTGAACGTTACTTTTGAATGTTCTCTGAACGTTACTTTAGAATGTTCTCTGAATGTTACTTTTGAATGTTTTCTGAATGTTACTTTTGAATGTTCTCTGAACGTTACTTTAGAATGTTCTCTGAACGTTACTTTAGAATGTTCTCTGAACGTTACTTTAGAATGTTCTCTGAACGTTACTTTTGAATGTTCTCTGAACGTTACTTTTGAATGTTCTCTGAACGTTACTTTAGAATGTTCTCTGAACGTTACTTATGTTCTCTGAACGTCACTTTAGAATGTTCTCTGAACGTTACTTTAGAATGTTCTCTGAACGTTACTTTAGAATGTTCTCTGATCGTTTCTTTAGAATGTTCTCTGAACGTTACTTTAGAATGTTCTCTGAGCGTTACTTTTGAATGTTCTCTGAGCGTTACTTTTGAATGTTCTCTGAACGTTACTTTAGAATGTTCTCTGAACGTTACTTTAGAATGTTCTCTGAATGTTACTTTAGAATGTTCTCTGAACGTTACTTTAGAATGTTCTCTGAATGTTACTTTTGAATGTTCTCTGAACGTTACTTTAGAATGTTCTCTGAGCGTTACTTTTGAATGTTCTCTGAACGTTACTTTAGAATGTTCTCTGAACGTTACTTTAGAATGTTCTCTGAATGTTACTTTAGAATGTTCTCTGAACGTTACTTTAGAATGTTCTCTGAACGTTACTTTTGAATGTTG